GATCAAGATCTCCTCATGTTCAAAATTAAACATGAGGGTCATGTTGGTGTATTTTTGTACGCTCGCTTAAGCAAGCAAAATTTCGCTTAAGCAAAATTATAAAAATACACCAACATGACCCTCATGTTCGATTTTGAACATGAGGGGATCTTTTTCCATGAGAAAGAAGCTTAAATATCTCTTGCACACCAGAACAAACTACAAGAAAGTAAGAATTCAAAGTCAGTGTAAGCATCACTCTCAACATTAATTAGGCAAAGTAAATGGGATATCAGAAATAATTATATCTATATATATATATATATATATATGAGTGCAATATCATAGGTATTTTTGGTATTGAAACTGAAGTTTCAAATCACCCTGGTAACTAACGCCAACCTTCAATGTCAATCTTTACTATGCTTGTTACTCAAGTGAAAGAGATTTCATATATTCTTGCTTCTCCAGTTTACCAGTGCTACCAAATTTTTATTTTAAAATTTCACATATCTATCTCCATACAAGAAAGGTAGAATAGTTGCTGTACACATATCAATTTATATTTATATAATTTTAATAACTTACAATTCTCAGCTTTATTTAATGACTATTATGAAAATAAGTGTTTAGAACTAAATATTTCATGAGCTTCTCAATCTAATCACATGACAATATTTAGTAGCAAAATCGGTTAAGTAACTTTCTCAAGATCGTCGGTGCTAGCGACCAAAGTGGGCAGAGTCATGACAAAAATGATTTGGTGATATTTCTTTTTCGTGTTGTGAAAAACATGCAACATATAAGTGCATGCAATCTTCGATACTGTGGTCATAATCATTGAAAATGGTTAAAAAACAATTTAGAAGGTGTTTGAAATATCATGATGCTTTGACATTCAGTTCCTTGGTTCAGATAATCAACTTTTTCCCACTACTTTTTGATATTTTTCGAAACCGACAATTGTGTTCTGGTGATATTGCTCCTTTGTAGCATAACACATCAATTGATCCCAAAACGACTTATGATGTATAATAATATATTTAGGTTCATCTAGTTTGTTAATACATGATACTAGGTTGTAAATTTGTTAATACAAATTTTTATGCTAACAATACATTAATTTATTATTAATATTTTTCTGAAAAATCGGGTACGAAACATTTGCTATATCTAAAACCAAAGCCCGCGAATGAACATTTAAACGGGAACAACAATTTTAGCCATTAAATGTGAAAAAATTAATTCGATAAGATGTCATTTGTTTACATAAATGCCAACACACCTCTCTCCATCTATCTGCTTTCTAGCCATTCTTTTAAAATATGCTTCGCACAATTCAAAATTTCAAAAAACATTTAAGATGAAAATAATTCACTGGACATAATCAAGACAGATTTTATTGATATTCTTAATTTTTATTTATTTATGCTATATGGTATTGCCTAAATGACCTTTATTAATTTTTTATTTAATATTTTACTAATTCATTATTCAATATATATATATATAATACTTTAAAAATCTAATAAAATATATTTAATCTCTCTCGACACGTGCTCTTAAACAAATCGGAAAAAGTAATTTTAATTAATACACATAAAAACTTAAATATATTTATAATATTATATCTAATTTTTCCTAATGAAATTGTTAATAAATGCAATCCTTTATTAGTGTAGCATTTGCTTTCGGTTGTGAACACTCACCCAAACTTCACTTTACGGGTCACAGCTGTCTTTCAGTTGTGCATAAATATGTCAACCCTCTCGACACCCCTTTTTTTTATGTCCAAATCAATCAGTCAGGGACGGCAAAAAATAGATACTAACAAATATAATTAAATTATTTAAATTATTAATTTATTTTCTATCCATATTATTTTAAAAAAAATATTTACTTATATTTTATCTTGTTATTAAAAATTATATTCAACACCATTGTCTAACTATTTTATTTTTATTATTATTGATGTCCAAGTTATTAAAAACTCCTTGTTCTATACAACCAATTTTTTTGTTCGCATGCCGCATGCACGTATCCTTGGCAATTTATTGGTTAATTTAATTTGATATAATAATATTTATAGAACACAGACAAATAATAAATTATATAAAACATTGATATTAACTCTTATGATTAATTTTAAGATATACTTTGATAAGTTTTATTGAGAGTACAGTATTTTATTATAAACATCTGTATTTAATAAAAAGTATTATTTTCAGATATTTAATATTAACTTTAAGACGGATATTTAAAAGTTGATGAAATTTTCAGTAAAAAATTCTCCAGTTTCACTATCTAGTATCCACACACTAAACTACTGGCAGTAATCTAATAATTAGAATTACTGAATATCCAAATCTGTGTTCAAGAACAGATATATACGAACATGAAATTGTAATTTTAATAACCAAAAAAAAAAATCTGATGTAAATTTTGGAATTATATATATATATATATATATATGTCTCTAATTTTTATAAATATTATAAGAATCTTTAATTTTTTTGAAAAAAAATTCAATCAAGTCATTTTTAGTGAAAAAATATAATAAAAAATAGATGAATGTCTGTATAAAATTAAAGAATATTAATTATTTTTAAAATATTTTTTTATATCATTTTATATATCTCAAAAGAGAAGACATTGCAATATTAATAATTTTTTTATATAAAATTAATTTAAACAAATTGTTATAGTTTAAATAAAAAAAAATTGAACGTCTAGTTCATATATTAAGTGAACCGAATTCAGATCTATTACTAACAGTGTCTTTACAGTCTAAATAAAAAAATTACAAAATAATGAATATTTAATATATAAAATGATAATAAAAAAGAAATAAAAATAGTGTACACACAAAATAAAATTGAAATCGAAAAGGCAAGCGAAGGTTTTGATTTGGAGAGATTCTTGAGAGAACAGAGCAACGACATCGAATACCGCGTTTTTATCTTCCTTTTATCTTTTTCCTTTGGCATTATTTATTTATAAGCATTGTCGAATATTAATATGTGAAGAACTTGTTAAAGCAAAACGGCAGCAGAGCAAGCTGTAAACGCGTTTAGTTTTTGTAGCATTTCAACTTGTTCTAAAGCATGTCGCTTTTGCCTTTGTTGCTTTTGAGAATGACACGTTTGGAACCTTTTCCCTTTCATTTCAATCGCTTATTGTGCATTCAGAATCAAATGTCCATTCAGATTTCTCCTCTCATATGTATACTTACTCATTCATCGCTTTATGCATTTGAGATAGTAATTTAGAAAAACTCATGTATATAACATCGTCACTTTCACAGTCATATTCTACGGTGACTGTGCTTAACTGTTTACAGTCATCCCAAAGTCACTGTTTCAATTTCAAAGGGTATATCTATGCACTATCACAATGTGATAGATGAGATAATTAAAATTTTTTAATTACATTATTTATTTATTTTAAAATATATAAAATTTAAATTATTAAATTAACTGCAAATAAATAAAAATATGAATGAAACACAAAATAAATAAATAAAAATTCAAATCTCCACTCTTTTTGTTAAAATTTATATTTCTTAAATTTTAATCTATTAAAAATTTTTACTAAAATTTCTAAATTTTAAATTCTTTGAAATTCCTTGTGAACATCCTCGCTAGAATATTCATGCCCACTGCCCACGCTTACATTTTAGGTAAATAAAAATAAAAATAAAAATCCAATCCTGCACCTGCATGGATAATAATTATGATGTCTACATATTCATGTTCAATGAATATCTATATATTTATATCTAGACCCTTCACATGTAGTGAAAAAATAGATCTGATTTCTCATTAAAAGCTTGTGACTTGATTCACACAAAGTCTAAATTAAATTAGGCCTATGTACAAATAAATTAGGTCAAAATTAAAAAAAGTAATTAAGAAAGTCAAACTTTAGGTAATTTAAATAACTTTTTAAGCCAATAGATACATTCATTTAAATAAATATAAACAATATAGTAATAACTTATTATAAGTGTGTGTAAGAAGAAGAGTAGATATTATATTATTTATACAGTAAGATGGAGCATGGAAGAACTTGAATAAATATATTGTTTTGAATGCTGAGTGCATGTCTGCATCTATTACCAAACATGCTGAAACCATGGAATTGAAAATCTTGGCCATGCTGCTTTGTCTAATGACGAGGGACAATGGACAAGAATGGGTCGCTTGCATAAAAAAAATGACTACGTTTTATCTGTTTTCTTCATTTGAGACGGGGAAAGAATAAATAAGAGATTTTCTTTGGTGGGAAAGTGGGGATTTTGTTTTAACTGAAGAGGATAAAAACAGAGAGAGGTCAATGTCGATGCTACAAATTGATGATTTGGTGGAATCTGTAGCAGTCACAGTGATGCCTTTGCCTTAGCTTGTACATTTGGTTCTACGCTTCTAAGTGTAGTGAGTGAGTGACATGCATATATAGTTAAGTTACCGCCGACACATGCTCTGCTTTTCTTTTGTTAATGGCCTCTTCTTTCTGTGGCCCTATTTTCATTTTAGCTTTATCAATAAGTATTCTATTATCTTTCGTTAAGAATTTCTAAATAAAATATATAATATATTTTGCATTATCTATTATATTCTTCAAACTTTCAAGAGGTTTGGACCATCATTCTGTCCGTTGTCCAAGTAATTTTTTCCATGAAACGTACCTCGTCAAGTGTATCAACTCTATTTTCCATGCGTAGTAACTTCGTTTTCAATATATTTTCAGTAAATAGCATTTATTTTTATATATTAAAATTTAAATTAAAAATTTTGATTTTTGTTTACCCAAGATTATACATGACATTAAATTAATCACCAAATTATTATTATTTTAATTCAAAACTATTCCTCACGACAATGTTGTTTTTCAATGTTCTAAATATTTTGTTCACTTTAGACTAAAGTTCTGAAGCTGACTCTCTCCATCTTAAATTAAATTCTCACAGCTAACCAACACATTCCAATCGCTTTTCCTTTTTTCCTTTCCGTTTAAATATCGAACCCCTCTCGGTCCTTATTTGCCTTGCAACAACAGAGGCACTCTTCCAAGTGAAGAAGTTCGAAATGGCTCTTCCTTCAACTAAGCAGCCACAAACATCACACACTCTCACATTCACCTTCTTAATCTTCCTACTTCTTCCACTCTGCACCCCACTGGGTGCTAACACAGATTTTTCGGGATCAGCATGCCTCAAAGTTTCTCCTACCCATTTTGGAGGCTCAGTGAGGGAAGTTATTAGCGCCTTACAAGAAATTTCATCCATTTTGTCACGCTTCTCCCATGGCTTTGGTAACTTCCGTCTTTCTAATGCCGTTACTGACTGTCTCGATTTGCTTGACTTTTCCTCTGACGTCCTTTCGTGGTCTCTCTCCGCTACTGAGAATCCCAAAGGTGAAATATAATATAACATTGCTCTGTTTTTTACTCTGTTTTTTGTTAAACGTTAATTAACGTTGTTGTTGTTGTTGCAGGGAAGAACAACAGTACTGGGAACCTAAGTGCTGATTTGAGGACATGGCTAAGTGCAGCACTTTCGAATCCAGAGACATGCATGGAGGGATTCGAAGGTACAAATAGTGTTGTGAAGGGTTTGATTTCAACTGGTCTTGGGCAAGTGATGACGTTGGTGAAGCAGCTTCTTACACAAGTGGTTCCTGTGAAAGATGAATTGGGTAGTGGGAAGGGGAAATTTCCTTCGTGGGTTAAACCGAGGGAAAGGAAGCTGGTACAGGCGAATGGGGTGGCTGCAGATGCGGTGGTGGCTGCAGATGGGACTGGGAACTACGCTACCATCATGGATGCGGTGGCGGCGGCACCAGATTATAGCATGAAGCGTTTTGTCATTTATGTGAAGAAGGGTGTTTATGTAGAGAATGTTGAGATAAAGAAGAAGAAGTGGAATATTATGATGGTTGGAGATGGGATGGATGCTACTGTAATCTCCGGTAACCGGAGCTTCATCGACGGCTGGACCACGTTCCGTTCACCTACCTTTGGTAAGAACAACATCACTCCCATTGCTATCCTTGTTTCTTCTTGATTTGTTTTCAACACATTTTTTTTTTAATTTAAAAAGACGTAATATTTAAAAGAGTGTTTAAACATTTATTATTACATTTTATTTGAATATTTTTATTTATTAATTTAACTATTAAAAATATTTAAAATTGTTATAAAGAACAAACTTTTCTAAGATTGATTAAAATTGAAAATTTGCTTTGCGGGTGACAGAATCTTCTATTTTGAAGACTAAAGTTGATTGCCTACGAGGTGGGGGTAATGGTTGGATAATGGGAAGCTTTTTCTTTTGACTAAATCTTTAAATTAGTCTTCAATGTTATTCTTTTGAATGTTCTAGTTTTGAAGAGTTGCAAATTTTTTATAAACCATTATTTTTTTTATTTAGATGATATTACAAAATTAAATAAATTATTTTGATAAAGTGATGATGGAAGGTTTTTGATGCCTTAGAAACTTAAGGGTCTAATTTATATAATAGAAATTAATTTAAATATTTTTAAGAATAATTTTAAAAAATTAAAAAAAAATATATAATTAATTTATAAAATTATGAATATTAATTCTATCAGTATATTTCAAGATTAATTAATGAGTCCAAGAAAGACTGATATAGTTAATATTTGTAATTGTTTGAAATTGCGATGATATATTTGTATTGTTAAAAACTGACCTGATTCATCTTAAACTTTGGTATAATGACGTGCGTAATTAATAAATTTTTAAAAGGTATACATTAGTTGGATTATAACACTGTAATATTCTCTTAAATATTTGTTAGTAGTTGTTTCATAATAAACAACTAAGAATACACTTAGCATAACTAATGAGTTTAATTATAGCTTTAACGAAAGCCGAAAGGTGCTGCTATAAAAAATAAACAATTGATGGGGACCCTTTACATTACTTTCTAGTCTGTAGAATTCCCTAACCTTTCAAAATGCATATTTAGAAGGGCAGAACATTCCTAATGAATGAATGCAACAATCATCTCGGAACTAACAAGATTGAATAAAGTGTTTAATCACAATTAAGTAGGGCCCAAAACTTAATCACATACTAATAACTAACATAATCAATTAATTAATTGTGATTGATACTTGATTGTGTGCGGTCACGTGCAGCTGTTAGTGGGAGAGGATTCATAGGAAGAGACATTTCCTTTCGGAACACCGCAGGTGCAGAGAAGCACCAAGCAGTGGCACTTAGATCAGACTCAGACCTTGCCGTATTCTACCGATGTGGGATCTTTGGATACCAAGACAGCCTCTACACTCACACAATGCGCCAATTCTTCAGAGAATGCAAGATCACTGGCACTGTTGATTTCATCTTTGGAGACGCCACTGCAGTGTTCCAAAACTGTTTGATCCAGCCCACCAAAGGGTTGCCAAATCAGAAGAACACGATCACAGCTCAAGGTAGAAAAGACCCAAATGAACCAACGGGTTTCTCATTCCAATTCTGTAACATCACTGCAGATTCTGCTCTTCTACCCTTAGTTAGCACCACCCAGACGTACTTGGGTAGGCCATGGAAGATTTATTCACGAACTGTTTTCATGCAATCGTACATGAGTGACGTGATAAGACCAGAAGGGTGGCTAGAATGGAATGGGAATTTTGCTTTGGATACATTGTACTATGCTGAGTACATGAACACTGGTCCAGGTGCTGGAGTAACTAACAGAGTGAATTGGCCAGGGTATCATGTATTAAATGATTCTAGCGTGGCCAGTAACTTCACCGTGGCTCAATTTATTGAGGGGAATCTATGGTTACCTTCCACGGGTGTGACCTACACTGCTGCATTCAATTAATATTTTCAAAGCAACTGGCAAATCTTGCCATTCTTGTACTTATATATATATATATATATATATAAAGTTGTTCTTTATATCATTTATATCATAGGAAAAACATATATTATTGAAAAAAATGGGTGAATGGGGGTCCTTGTTCACTTTAATTAATTACCTTGTACTTGATTATTAATGATTTTCCTATTCTTGGTTTGGGAGTTCTTGGGTGATTTTCGTTTTGGAATTCTTCACCTAAGTTCTTGCAAAAAAAAGGTGCAAATTCGTTTTCAAGTTTATTGTCTTTATCAGAATAGGGAACCATGCATTTAATTTAGGAATGGCAACGGTTTGGATTTGGACAACTTACTAGTATTTGCACTGATTCATATTTAGGAAAAAGACTTGTACCTGAACTTACACATAAAATAGTATCCTGACTAAAAGAAAACCATCAATATTATAAAAACTCTCTTACGTCTTTCATATTATTATATGTGGGAATTATGCATTTAAGTGTTTGGTGTTAGCATTAATGACCATCAACAACACTCCATCACTTTGGAAAATTTATCTTAATGGGATTAGTTTATTTGGTGGACGCAAATCACTGCATGAGGAATGGTTTATCCATTTGCTGTGCTGTTGGTGCATATATATTGTATTCTATCCATTTGCTGCATATTTCGTAATACTTATATCAGCAAAAATAATTGCTCACCTTTTTAAAAACTTGTCAATGAATTAATATAAATAAATAAGTATTTTTTAAAACAAAATAAATTGAACATATATTTAGTTGAGATTTCAGGTCTTCACCTCCTGATCGTTGCACGGAATTATGTCCATGTATTATTAGTTTATTTCAAAAAATATATTGTTTGAAATTTTGTGATATTAGTTAAGAAATTAATAAATAAAAAATATTAAAAAACTATAGTGAGGTGTTCGTAATGTTTTTTCATAAAAAATTTCACTTTTGGTTTCTTTTAACAATTCTCTTAAAAATTATTGTCAGTAGTATTTTCCTTAAAAAATAAATAATACGAATACATAATAAGCAAACGGAGTACCATTACCATATCATCTTATTGTTATTGTTAATAATTTACAAAGAAATATTAAATAAAAATAAACACATTTAATGTTATGAAAATATAAAAATTATATTGTTGGTTCCTCTTAATCTAATTTCTCTGAGTATTTTTTTAGTCTACGAAGTTTCTCTAATTAAGTAAACTTTATCCCATCAACTTTCCTACACCTAAAAATTACATTTTTTTTTCTTTTTACTCAAAATTAATTTTAATCAAATCAATTTAATTGTCCTCTAATAACATATACACATTTGATTATTTAGTGAGATAGTTCATTTGATAAAAATAAATATTTGTTAATGTTTGATATGTAACTTTATTTAAATCTTATATTTTATATTTTTTATAAAAAAATTTATTAACTCCAATTTTTAAAGTTGAGAATAAACAGTTAACAATAGTAAAATTTTATTAAAAAAATATTTATTATATTTTTTAATTTTAATATAATAATTATATTTTGTTATAAAAGTTTGATTTATAGATGCTTAAATTTAGTTTTAAGATTAAAATTAATAAAACTCTTTTATTAAATAGATTATTATTGTTATTGTTGTCGGTTTTGGTCAATGATACCCAGTGACTGAAATATTCTACTTTACTTGGCTCGATCGTGATTTCGACGTACATGTATCGATCAAATTTTAAATTATTATTCTATGATTTTACTTACTTCCATGCACATATATCTACTTATAACATGTTTGGTTTAACGGCAAGCAGGTGAATTCACATTTAAACGCAATAAGTATTAAATTTATATTTACGTATTTTTAAATACGCATTTAAACGGCATTGGGAAATGGGTAGATATGCTTATGTTTTCTACTGGGTTACAAATCATGCGCCTGTGTACAATTTCAAGCACTTTTATAAAAAGGGTGTATAATCCAGGGACAATGTTAACGAAATCAATAAAAACACATTACTCTCGAAACGTTTGATGTAAAAAAGGTTGAAATATACTTTTTTCAATTTTATAGCACATTTCTAATAGAATGAACAAAAGGCTCTGACAACTTCAATTATTTCATGCAGTTGAAAAGGTAAGTTTCATATGATAAATTCTATATCTTATCATTATCTGTACACGCAAAAATCAGATACAAGATGCATGCATGTCTATATAAAGTATAATCTCACATCAAGAATATTTTGAGTAAGTTTATCTTTCTAGTTACACTTTTTCTTTATGGCTTTGGGATTTGTTCGAATATTTAAGGGTCTATGTAAATATACTCAACGTCGTTGAATCTCTATTATTGACTGACATTAAACTCTGAGATGACCGAACTTTTCTACGTTCATTCCATTAAATACTAAAAGCCTTGCATGAATATAAAAATTATTTAATGTTAGAAAATAGTCTCACATAACATCGATTATTTTAATAAATAATTAAATGGAAAATATATATAAAGTTATGTCTAAATTTTGTCATTTTCAAAATAAATAAGACACTTTTACTTCACTAGTGTCTGTTTAACAAGTTGCTTAATCATTATCCTGAGTTATTGAACACTGAGCAAATAAAGCAATATAACCAACTTTTAGAGGAAATCCATGGGCCCAGATGATAAAGGTAATATCCCTTGAAAGTCGATGGTGAAGGTGTCATAGTCATTCCATTTACCTATTACCAGTCATCAAAATGGTTGAACAGTGCTTGCATTGCAACCTTTGGTTTCTGACTAATCTGCCATAGAAATCAGCAGTTGAAGTATTGAAAAGCTCAAAGTGGAACTGTCAATATACGAATGCCGCTTTGATTAGTACACCAACCCTTGCATTATTTTCACTGTTACCTACAAAAATCCAAAACAGAATGGCCCAATATGGAGACAATGTTTCCCTAACACGGGTTATTCTCTTTCACCGACATACATATTGTATTATCACAGTATCTTCTAAGAGCGACATCCTTAGTGAAATGATCGTTCCTTTTGAGTTTTGTCACTCTTACCTTCTCATTTTGCTTGCCAATGCCAATAATACAAAGTTAGTTTCCAAATAAAAACAAAACAAGTGACCCCCCAAAGCAGAAATATAGGAAAATCAATATGACACACATTTAATTTTTGTGCACTATGCATCCCCCTTCCATTATTTTTCAAATTTCGAAGTTAACTATTTAGTGAAAAAAAGGGTTAAAAAATCTAAGTCCTTATCCACCAACTGCTTTATTTACATGAGTCAAATGCTGAAATTCTTCAACTTGTCATAATTAACATTTAACTGTGTCTTTCTTCCTTTTTTTCATGTAATTTCATGGCTACTTCATCTCCTAAACTCTTCCTCCTTCTCTTAACAATCTTCTTTTCATTCTCACATACATGGGCAATCAACTCCTCCAACTCCAATGCTTCCACAGCAACATTGCATGCAAACCTCTCTTCCTTAAAATCATTTTGCAGAACCAGACCATACCCTGAAGTTTGCTTCAATTCATCGAAGCTTTCCATCTCAATAAACATAAATCCAAATATCATCAGCACCCTTCTTCAGTCCCTAGAAGTAGCAATATCTGAAGCCACAAAACTATCTGATCTATTCAACAAAGCGGGACCCTCCAACATCATAGAGAACAAAATAGGTGCAGTCCAGGACTGTAAAGAACTTCAACAATCCACCTTAGCTTCCTTAAAAAGATCATTATCTGGGATTCGTTCCCAAGATTCTAGAAAGCTAGTTGATGCAAGAACTTACCTCAGTGCAGCCCTTACCAATAAAAACACATGCCTTGAAAGCATAGATTCTGCTTCAGGTACCCTTAAGCCAGTTCTGGTGGATTCTGTGATCAACTCTTACAAGCATGTCAGTGATTCTCTTTCAATGGTCCCTAAGCCTCAAATGAAGGCTTCCAGTTCCAAAGAACACAAGAATAGGCGTTTGATGAGTGCTCCAACGTGGTTTTTAAGAAAAAACCACCGTCTCTTGCTAAGTTCCAATGAAGTGCTTGTTGTGGCTGCAGATGGGACTGGGAACTTCAGTACAATCACTGAAGCTATCAATTTTTCTCCCAATAACAGTTTAGATAGGACAGTGATCTATGTCAAAGAAGGGACTTACGAGGAGAATGTTGAAATCCCAAGTTATAAGACTAATATTGTTCTGCTTGGCGACGGAAAAGATGTCACTGTCATTACTGGCAGCAGAAGTGTCATCGGCTGGACCACTTTCAGATCTGCTACTCTAGGTAAATCCTTTATGGAACTATTGATAACCCTTTACCAATTGATCAATTTGATTTTGTGTATTGAATGTGACAAGTGCCTATGCTTTGAGTTTGTCTGTTTGTGGCACTGACTAATTTGTAATAGTTCCAGTCCATAAGCTTCTAACTTAATGAGAGTTTTTAATAGTAAAACTTTACTTCAAAGACTTTGGCAAGAATGCTGAGTGATGATAAGTCCATAGGTTTATAGAGAAGTGGGAGTTTTTTTAAAAATTTTTATTTTATGTTTCTTATACATGTATGGCAATTGCATGATCATTCTCTATTTTTGTTTTCCAGCGGTTTCTGGTGATGGCTTTCTGGCACGTGATATAGCTTTTGAGAACAAGGCAGGGCCAGAGAAGCATCAAGCAGTTGCCTTAAGAGTGAATGCAGACTTCACTGCTTTTTATAGGTGTGCCATGTATGGTTACCAAGACACTCTTTACGTTCACTCCTTTAGACAATTCTATAGAGAGTGTAACATATATGGGACCATAGATTTCATATTTGGAAATGCAGCTGTGGTTTTACAAGCATGTAGCATTGTGTCTAGGATGCCATTGCCTGGCCAATTCACTGTAATTACTGCACAATCCAGAGATTCCCCAGATGAAGACACTGGCATCTCAATCCAAAACTGCTCAATTCTAGCTACCACTGATTTGTATTCCAACTCTGCTAGTGTTAAGAGCTACCTCGGTAGGCCATGGAGGGCCTATTCTCGTACCGTTTACCTTGAGTCCTACATTGATGTCTTTATTGACCCAATGGGGTGGACAAAGTGGTCTGATGATGGTCAAGGTTTGGACACTTTGTATTATGGAGAGTATGCAAATTATGGGTCTGGTTCAGGGACAGATAACCGAGTGACATGGCTTGGGTACCATTTAATGGATTATAGTAGTGCCTACAACTTTTCAGTCTCAGAGTTCATCATTGGTGATGCTTGGCTTGGGTCTACTTCATTCCCTTATGATGATGGGATTTAATAAATTAAATTAAAGAGATCAATTATTTACTGCTTTAGCTTGTTCCACTTTGCCTTCGCCAATGTAAAACCAAAAAGGTGAATGACTAATTTTAATATGATTAGGTTCGATAAGTGCCGTGAGAAGTTTGAGTTATATTTTTAATATTTCTCCTCTAATTAATTTTAACGTTTTATCCAAGTCAAACACGTGATATATTTTTTAACTAAGCTGCAAATGTGGATTCTCTGCCAATGTGAAGGTACAAAAATATACTGCCTAATAAATGTGTTATTGTATTATAAGATGTCGAGTAATATACTGTTGGAGTGTGACGCATCTTCAATTAATTTCAAGGTGTCTCACATATGTGACACGACCTTTGGATACATTAATTAACCCAATTTTTATATCATGTGTCCATATTTGAGTTGGGACGCTTCTTGGACTAAATTTACATATTAAAAACACCGTGTTTTAGCACTATAACACTGAGTCACTTGACATCTCCGAGAAATGTGACACATTTCATTAAGCTTTACGTTTGTGTTTTCTTCATTTTCATGTGGAGACACTTTACATGCTTACGAGTGCACCTATGACGTGTTATTATTTTTCTTTTGCCGTACATGCGACACGTGGTTAAAATCACCCCCATCTTAATCCAAAGGACTAGGCTCGGCCAAGCCCATCACGCTAAAAAAGGCAACATAATCCTACTCGTAGTTTTTAGGAGGAAGAGTGGACCAAAACAACGAACAAATAAAAAAAGTGTTACTTTTCAGATATAGCTTCTTTGCAACAGAAGTAGCATGGCATATATTGGGTTTGTTTTATTTGCACCAATGCTACTTTTGTGCACAGCCATCCTTAGAAGGAAAAGGTGGAGAAGGAGATTGAAAGACGGTCAAAAGGGTATATGGAAAGATGGGGGAAACAAGGTTGATATTACAAGAGAAGAACCTGTCACACGTTTTTTGGAACCATAGGCACCAAGTCACGAACATGCTAAAATAGAAAAACCTGTAATGTCTCTCGTCCACTCCCCATGCAAACAAACTACTTTAAAAGTTCCAAAGGATGAAAGACAGAAATTGGAAAGGAGTCGAAGGAGTGGTTAACCCCCTTTAGATCTCTTTCTACCTCTATTCAATTTGAACCTAAGGCAGAGACTCCTCTGCCTTAGAGAAACTCTCACAATGGCGTTTCAGGATTTCGACCTCATCTCAGAAAGGCGAAGCAACGAAAAGAGACAAAAGCTGAGGAAGAGGATCCTAATCGGTGTGGTTTCTTCCATTGTCCTTGTGGGTCTGATAGGTGCAGCATCATTCGTTGTTGTTAGAAATGACTCTGATGATAACACCAATGGTGACCAGAAGCATGCACCTGCCACTGCCAGCAGCAAACAACACGTGTCAACTTCAGAGAAGATGGTGAAGTTGGTGTGTAGCTCTGCAAATTACAAAGATAAATGTGAAGGACCCCTTAACAAGGCCATGCAGGATGACCCAAAACTCTCACACCCCAAAGACCTTCTCAAGGTCTATGTGAAATATGCTCAAGATGAGGTTGACAAGGCTTTTGATGAAACCGTCTCTATGAAGTTCCAATCTGAGGAAGAGAAAGCAGCATATGAAGATTGCAAGAAGCTGTTTAAGGATGCCAAGGATGACTTAGAAACATCTCTCAATGAACTTACAAAAATTGAGTTGAAATCAATGTCTCAAAGAACTCCTGATTTGAATAGCTGGCTCAGTGCTGCTATGACTTTCCAACAAAACTGCGTTGATGGTTTTCCTGAAGGAAAATTGAAAACTGATCTTCAAAATCTCTTTACAGATTCTAAGGAATTTCTCAGCAACTCCCTTGCCATTTTGTCTCAGGTAGCCTCCGTCCTCTCCACATTCCAGGCAATTGCGCGTGGCCGTTTGTTGCTATCTGAGAACTCCAATTCCCCACTTGCTTCTCTCGACAAAAAAGATGGCTTTCCTTCTTGGATTAGCCATGAGGACAGAAGATTTTTGAAGGCTTTGGATAACAAACCTACACCTAATGTTACTGTGGCAAAGGATGGAAGTGGAAACTTCAAAACCATCTCTGAAGCTTTGAATGCCATCCCTCAAACTTACGATGGACGGTATGCTCCTCTCATCTCACTCACTACCTTATCACATCGTTATATGTGTTTCATGTTATGTCAAGGTATACAATGTGTGTTGTCACAACGCAGGTATGTGATTTATGTTAAAGAAGGAGTGTACGATGAGACAGTGCTAGTAACAAAGCAAATGCAAAATGTAACCATGTATGGTGATGGATCCCAAAAGAGCATCATCACTGGCAGCAAAAACTTTAGGGACGGAGTCACGACTTACCAAACTGCAAGTTTTGGTATGTCAAAACTTAAACCATCAAATTAGTTGTTGAAATAATAATTAATTAACATTTTAGTCCTTGAAATCGGTGATTCACTATTGCCTGTTGGTCACTTCAATCCTTGATATTAAGGGTCTGTTTATTTAATTCACATCTGTTTCCTGGCTTTGACATGCATCCCTCAAATCTGAGGACTAAAATAATTGATTATGTAATGTTTCAGACCAGATTATTAAATGGTAGCGCCAATTTTCAAAGACTATAATTTTTTCTATAATATCAGGACTAAGCTTATAATTTCATGAAATAATTTGTGGTATTATAGATGACTAATATATTGTTTTGATTCCTATTGCAACGAACGGTGCAGCCGTAGATGGAGACGGATTCTTTGGCCTTGCGATGGGATTCAGAAACACCGCAGGGCCTGATGGGCATCAAGCAGTGGCTGCAAGAGTGCAAGGAGAACGTGCAGTATTTGCCAACTGCCGTTTTGAGGGCTACCAAGACACTCTATATGTCCAAGCACACAGACAGTTCTACCGTAGCTGCATAGTTTCAGGTACAATTGATTTCATCTTTGGTAATGCAGCTGTTGTGTTCCAGAACTGCATCATGATTGTTAGGAAGCCACTGGACAACCAGCAGAACTTGGTGACAGCTCAAGGTAGACTGGACAACAAACAAGAAACAGGAATTGTTCTACAAAAGTGTGTGATCAAACCTGATGACTCACTTGTTCCAGTTAAGGACAAGATCAAGAGCTACCTCGGTAGGCCTTGGAAGGAGTACTCAAAAACCATTGTTATGGAAACTGAAATAGGTGATTTTATTCACCCTGATGGGTGGAAAGAATGGATGGGAGACTTTGCTCTCAAGACATTGTACTATGGTGAGTACAATAACACAGGACCTGGTGCCAGCACTAGTGCAAGGGTCAAGTGGCCTGGTTGCAAAGTCATCGACAGGGAGGAAGCTACCAAATATACTCCAGGGATCTTCTTGCGAGGCACATGGATCCAAGCCACAGGTGTGCCCGCTGTGCAAGGCTTGTACGGTTAAAATAAATGGTTCGCTCCAAATGGCCTTTCCATTCATACCAGTTGAGGTCTTGCTTGAGGGTTGAGCTGATGACAGACACATGCTACATGGTGTTAGGCATAGTGGGAAATATCCTTGTGTTTGTGTTGATGGTGTGCTCATTTTGATCAATTGTAATCTTTTTCTTTTTTTTTTCTTTCTTTCTTTTTTTACCATTTTTTTAAAGAAAAATTTAATCTTGGATAAACTAAAGTGAATGGAAAATACTTGCATAGAACTGTATCAACAAATGCTGGAGTAAATAGAATTATTATCTAATTATCAGTTTTTGCCGATAAAAAGAAACTGAGTCTGAACTAAGAAGTGAAATCTGAGATGTCTATAAAATTTTATAATTTGATTTTATCTTTTGTATTTGAAAATGCAGGGGAAACAAATATCTGATTTTTTGAAACAACAAAAATTATCCCGAATTTTCTAATATGAACACCCTTAAAAGGTGTGAAATGGACATACAGAAGAAAGAGGCAAAAAGAAAACAAGTATAGAAAGCGGGGAAAAAGCGAGAGATATAATAAGCAGTGTGATAAGGAAAAAAACAGGAGTGCACAAAAATTTACGTAAGAAAAGAGGACATGAAAAAACCAGAATTACCAATTTTTCTTAGCGCCTCTTCCTTGTCAGTGGTAATATAAACTACCAAGTCATTATTAAGATTCTCACTTGGGATTTTTTTTTTTTTTTAATCAAATCTAAGAACAAGCCACCTTGATTTTAAATTTTTGATAAGCCTTCAAACCAGATGCATCGTGAGCCTAAATTGTGGTTTGTGTTATTCTTTCAAAATTTCAGCAACAAAATTAACAAGGCTGCACCAGAAATGGGTGAGAACTGAATAATTGCACCCTATTGGTAAGGAATCTCGACCAATCTTAAAGTTTTAGACGGGATCAATTTTACGCAAGCTATTAATTAATACTACTGTTCAGTGTAGCTTCTGGCTGTGGTGCCCCGTGAATAGCATAAAAGCCTATGGCCGAAGGAGTACTAGCCCTTTTCACCTTTGGTTGTGACCACACCCTGTAATCTTAGGAAATTAAAACAACCCTTCTAAAAAATCATCTTTAAAAAATGACTTTGAGATTCTACTTTTATAATTATTTTACAAGAGCTACCTGAATTAAAAATCCTCCATGTTGAATGAAACTTCCAGTGGTTGCCATGAATAATTGGTATATGTTCTTTTGACACATAAGGCAAGTACTTGGGGTCGAATGCTAATATTATTTTATACCATAGAGACAAAAATGCAAAGAGCTGTCACGAATTCATGATCTATACCATACATCACACACCCGTTCTGACACAGAAAGAAAGCTAACCAAGGAATTCAAAGGCCACTGGACAAAAAAAATGTTATTCTATTTACAATCAAACCTGGCATCTACATTGTTTATTTACTAAAACGGCTCCGTAGCTGACAGACATTTGTTTATGCTTAACTTCGTCTTTGTGAATCTATTAGTTTAGTATCAACATTATATATATGACACACCAGCATAGGCACAAACCTTACACAATGGCATCAAGAAAAACCTTTAACCAATTGTTGCTAATGAGTTGCTTTGTTTTGCTGGGTCAATGTGGTAGGATACATAACACAGAAGGAGGAGAGGATTTGGTGACAGCAACCTGCAAACACACCCTTCATTTTCAAGTATGCATTTCTTCCTTGAAATCAGTTCCTGGTAGCAAGACATCAAATCCCAAAATGCTAGCTTATATTGCATTAAATCTTAGCACAACATATGCTGCAAAGACTTTGTCCTATATTTATGAGCTAAAGTCTTCTTTTGCTGCCAATGGCCCCAACAACAACATTTACGTGTCCCGTTGCTTAAGTGATTGTGCTGAGGAATACTCAGAAGCCATAGAGAATTTGCAGAACTCAGCTCAAGCACTTCTCAATGGAGAATATGACAAAGTGGATACATTGGTCTCTGCTGCTATGTCAGATGCTGAGACATGTGAGGATGGTTTCAAGGACATGCTCAGTGAGGACAATGATTCTACCTTTCCTCTTACCGAGTACAACCGTTACTTCTCTGAACTCTGTAGCAATGCTCTTGCCATTAGAAAATTGTTAGTTTAAGTGAATTTTGTTCATACTATGTGCTGTTAATGCTGTAGTTGATTTGTTGGTAGATGTAAAACCTGCATTCAGCATTGTCATGCATGATTTATGTTTTTCGTTTAGAAAATATGGTAACAATGATTTATTGCTTTTGTAATGCCTTCACTTTATTTTTTGTATTCTGACATTTGTGAAAATAATAATCCCTATGGTTACAATTCCTAAAAGAAAAACAAAATTAAGTTTTTTTTATTCCTGATTATTATTTTGTTAGCAGCTTTAATTCTATTGTTAACTTCTTGCCGTGTTTTATATTAGATGTCAAATTATTTTTTTTATTTATCATTTTAGAATATTAAAAAGTATTACCACTATTTATTTTTTAATAATACCATTATTTATTATTGATAATTGTTATCAACTAACTACTATAATAACTCTAAAATTATTTTAAAAGTAATTCTTATCAATTAACTACTGCAATAACGTAAATACTTTTCATAAAAACATTTTAGTAAAATAAATTTATTCATCATAATAATTAATAAAATTAATTATTTTTCTAAGATATTTTAGTACTGGGTAACATCTAAATGAGACAAAAAAAAGATTATTTTAAGGATACTAGATACTCTTTTTTACACTATCAAGATATAAACTTCTTCCTAAGATGTTAGACCCTTTTTATCCTATCATTAGTGTTTTTTACACTTGTTAAGAGGTGTCTTTCATTTTTTATATATTTTTTATCTTGTCCAATATAATAAATATACAGAGAAAGGCCATCCATATGTGAATTGGGCCAATCAAAGACAAGACTGGCCTCTTTCTTTCTCCATGTTTTGCCTCTTCCTATTAGACCCCAAAAGCTAACAAAAGAAAACAAAAATTAAAATAAATAAATAAAAATTCCCTCCTTTCTCTCTCTCTTGGTTAAGCTTGTGAAGTAAGCTTCGTGGAGGGAAAAATTGTTTTGGCGCCCCTCCCACTCTTTTGAACACACAACCCCTCCTTCGTTCTTCCCTCTACCATCCATCACTTCTCAAAGATCGAATCTTTACGGGATGTCAACCAGCGTGGAGCATTCAAGAAACCAGAAAGCTGTCCAACAACATGACGATTCTGAAGAAATGCAACATGGCCCTCTGCCTGTCGAGCAACTTCAGGTTCAAAGATCCCTTCTTTTTCATATTCTCACTCACCCCATTTATTTATTTTTTTCCTTTATATACTTTGTGCATTTCAATTCACACCCATTTTTATTTTAGGGCAAAACCCCCCTCTTTGTGTTTTCTGTTGATACCCTAATGCTTAATCACAATCTCAGGCATCGGGTATAGCCTCCACAGATGTTAAAAAGCTTAAAGATGCTGGTATTTGCACGGTTGAATCCGCTGCTTACACTCCTAGGAAAGAACTTTTACAAATTAAAGGAATCAGTGAAGCTAAAGTTGATAAGATAATTGAAGCAGGTATTATTCACATTGGCTTTTGTTTCCCTTGGCTATTTCTTGTGATTGCTATGAAGGTCTTTTGATGTTCGGTTTCTCTTCTTTATTGACAGCCTCTAAGCTTGTGCCTATGGGTTTTACTAGTGCTAGTGAAATTCATGCCCAGCGTGATGCAATCATTCAGATAACTACAGGATCAAGAGAGCTTGACAAGATATTGGAAGGTCAGAATCAGAAACAATAACACCTTGTTTAATGTTTATGTTTGGAATTCACTGTTAAAGTGTCTTAAACTTGATAATGCTGTTTTTGCCAGGTGGAATTGAGTCAGGTTCTATCACTGAGTTATATGGTGAATTTCGATCTGGGAAGACTCAATTGTGTCACACTCTCTGTGTCACTTGCCAGGTAAATGGTTTCTTTACAGCAGTCAGAATACATTAATGCTGAATAAGTTGTTGTAGTTTACTAGTGTATTCAGTTTTAAACTCGTCTTGTCATGTTTCGCATGGAATTTGAGTTTATGAAGCTTTTGGTTCATACATACTGTGTTGTACCTTTGCCTAATGTTTCAATTTATTGTTGATGTTCTAGTTGCCACTAGACCAAGGAGGTGCTGAGGGGAAAGCTATGTACATAGATGCAGAGGGCACATTTAGGCCTCAACGACTCTTACAGATAGCAGATAGGTATAATGATTCTTGATATTATGATTTTGCTTGCATGTGTCTTTGATATGTTGGTATGTTCATTCAATATTTATGTTTCTTTTTGCTACAGGTTTGGATTGGATGGGCCTGATGTATTGGAAAATGTCGCTTATGCTAGGGCGTACAACACTGATCATCAATCACGGCTTCTGCTGGAAGCAGCTTCAATGATGGTGGAAACAAGGTGTGACTTTTGATGGCTCCCTTTGCTCAGTTTTGTTTAGATCTGCCAAAATCAACATAATCTGCCTTTTAAATAAGCATAATGATACACAAGTGCATTATGCTCATCTTAATTTATCATAGGCTAGCAGATGAAGTGGCTGTGTTTTATTCCTTTGTGTCTTTTTTTTCTTGGGCCCAGACCCAGAGTTGTTAGATTTCCTTAAATAGTGATATTTGATTCTGCAAGTGAGAAAGCTCTTTTTATTTGGGTGGCAAAACATGTTCTTGAGGCTTTCATTTTGATTGATATACACAGGTTTGCTGTAATGATAGTAGACAGTGCTACTGCCCTCTATAGAACAGATTTCTCTGGAAGGGGGGAGCTTTCAGCCCGGCAAATGCATCTAGCAAAGTTTCTGAGGAGCCTTCAGAAATTAGCAGATGAGGTAAAACTCATTGTTGGGCTGGCAATGCACCTAACCTTCTTGGAGCTAATAATTTGTTCTGCTTCTTTAATTGTAGTTTGGTGTGGCTGTTGTAATAACAAATCAAGTAGTTTCACAAGTAGACGGTTCTTCAGTCTTTGCTGGACCTCAAATCAAGCCTATTGGAGGCAACATTATGGCTCATGCTACAACAACAAGGTGAAATCTGAACTGCAGAATATGAAATGTTTCTTTTTTATTTCTTCTCGAAGCCTGTTTTGACTCTGGATGTTAACTAATTTCTTGATGACAGGCTAGCTCTCAGGAAAGGAAGAGGGGAAGAGCGAATCTGTAAAGTGATAAGTTCTCCTTGTTTGGCCGAAGCTGAAGCAAGATTTCAGATTTGTGCTGAAGGAGTTGCAGATGTTAAAGACTGACCAACTTTAGCATGTTTGATATTATAATGAAATTTATTTTTTTACCTTTGCTTGTATTCTTTTGTAAATGTCATTTCGTCTCTCTGAATTTTGTGACATCAATCGATATTAATCAATTTTATATACTAATGATTGCAGAACTCAGTTACAATGAACTTCACTTTAAAGTTTTACGCTGTTTGGATAGAATTGATATAAGAAGTTTAAAAATAGGAAATAATGGAATGAAAATAAATGAGAAAGGAGGGAAAGTGAAAATAATTATGAAGGAAAAAATGAACTGTTCGGATTGGATGAATCAAAACAGCAACTAGTGTAAGGTGGGGAGGCTTCACCTGAATGGTTATTGGAGAAATCACACGATTTTCAGGTATCGTTCACACAGTGTGTTCAATTGTAACTCACTAAATAAGCCTATTTGAACAGAGCAACTTGTTCAAGCTCAAAACCAGACATAATTTCAAAATTATTTTTGAATTACAATTAAAATGTTAAATAAGTTGAATTTATTTAAAACTTTAAATTTAAAATTAAACTCACTTGTTTATATGTAATTTAATTAAATAGTCTAAAAAAGATATACTGTTATACTTAATTAGTTGTTAATAAATAATAGGTTGTTAATAGATAAGATTTAAATGTTAATAGATAAGATTAATCAGTTAAATTATTAGTCAATAATTATCTTGAAAAGATATATAAATAGCAACTCTGAACATTGAACAAGGAAGTACAAAACATAAATTTGTGCAAAATTTGTTAAGTTCTATGTGGCCTCGTGTGTGTATATTCCACTAGTGAGTGTGGAATATAAACAAGCAATATTGAATTCCAATGGTAACCTATTCAAATCGACCACAGAGCATAAAGAAGAAGGCGAGTCTGATCCTTATGTTAGCAAGATTATTGTACGAACTCAGATTGCGTTTTTCACGTTCGATGGTCAAATTATCGTGACTAGCTGTCAAAGCTAAGCAATTTTTTAAATTGGAAAACACCCCATAAACTTTTGCTTTTATATATGAAAGAAGAAGCTTTTACTTGACAACGCCACTATACTGCGCACAATCAATCAGGTTACTTTAGAATACACTCTTTAAAAGTTATTTTCTTTTTTAAATAGTATTTTTTATGAACAATATTAATATTGATTTTCAAAGCAAATTACTAAAAGTGGTGGAATTTTATTAAACAATATAAATATTATTACATTAAAAATATTACATTATAAACAAAACTTTTTAATAAAAAAGTCTATTTTATTATATTTAAATTTTAAAATTAAATTAAAGAATAGTGTTAATAAAAATGTTTTATCATTATAAAAACATTAACTAAATTTAGACACATATTTTGAAAATAAAAATATTTTTACTGCACTAAATCTAATGTCAATCTTAATTTATTATGCAATTTTTATTTTTTAAAATAAAAACATTAACTAATTCAAGTATAGGATCTTCTTCAATGGTATCACTGCAGAATCTTTTTCCATGTAGACACACATTAATTATATTTTTTAATTACAAATAAAATGTTAGGTAACTTTAATTTATTTATAAAGTTAAGTTGATTTGTTTTTTTTTTATAACTAAACATTAATATTAATTTATAAAATTAATTATCAAAAGTGGTGAGATTTTGTTAAAAGAAATAAATATTATTATATAAAAATTATAATAAATATTTCTTAAATAAAAATAATCTATTTTTATATATTTAAAATTAATTTAAGGGCTGGTGTTAAAAAAATGTTTTTTTTTTATTACAAACTTAATTAGATTTGTAAGAAGATAAAACCGTGCAATGCACACTAGCACGCACTAGTTATGATAAACCGAGAAACAAAACGCAGCGTTTGGTGCTGAAGACACAAAGTTAGAGCGGTTATGTAAGGAAGCTGGCAGGGACAGGGAAGAAGAAGAGGAAGCAGAGAAGAGCGAAACCGTGACAGAGGAAAATGGGAAGCAGAGGTCCACCTCAAACACTTCCGAATTCCGCTGCCATTTCGAAGGGTTACAACTTCGCTTCCACTTGGGAACAGGTGAACCATTTCCCTCCCTTATCCAAATCGCGCTTCCAATTTTGTTCTTTTGCTCTTCTTTCTTCGCCCTAGTTGCCTCGATTTCGTAGATCTCCAATTTTTCCAACTGCACTTGTATTCGATTATATCAGCTTAATTAATCTCTTTGCTCACAAATGAATCTCTCTCCGTTACGGATCAGATCTGCATGTTATTTGCAGTGATTTGATTTGAAATTTAAAATAAGCTGTGTTTTGCAGAATGCTCCTTTGACAGAGCACCAACAAGCCGCGATTATTGCCCTTTCTCATGCTGTTTCTGAACGGCCGTTGCCTCTCAAGTTGGTAAGCTTTTGTACCTGTGCTAATTGCTATTTACGTTTAATTGCTATTCTCTCTAAACAATTGAAATGTTATTTGCACTTGCATTTGTAGGCTCAAGAGAATGCATCGGTGCAAGATAATGCCTTCTCCGTTAAAACTAAGGATAATTCTTTCGATGATTCTGGTGCCATTGAGACTCTTATGGTTAATACCAATCAGGCAAGTTGTCTACGCAATCTGGATTGTGGATTTGAATACTTGACATGCGTTTTTACGTAGTTGTTTTTATATTTGAATTTGATGCAGTTCTACAATTGGTTTA